GGGGGGGGTTGCCTACCAGTGAAAGTTTACAATCTGATTCATAAATAAGTCTCCTAGAAAAATTTACAGAAGTGTAATTATAAAGATACGGGCGAACCCTGTAAATGCTCAGTTTAGCTTTTTTCAGTGCGACTTCAAAAGCTTGTCAGTGCCGTGCAAAATGAAACAAAATGAAAAACAGTAGCTCCTAGTGGTAGATTTGTCGCCCTAAAGATTTAATGATGAGCATGTTTCTTGTAGAGCCGCCCCGAGAAAAGTTATACACGAGAAAAGCGCAAGGAAATTGGAAGTTTGGCGATTTTTCCGGCGTGCTCTGGCGGCTTGAACAGCAGTCATATAAAAAAAGTTGGTAATATCTCATCCTCTTCAAAATTTTAATTACTTTAATTTTGAAAGTAACGACTTTGGTCAAAAAATAAAAAATTAGCGAGATATTTTAAAAAACGTGATTTTAGGCCATTTTAAAGCAATTTTTGGAAATCGGCGGCTTAAGCGGCGGAAAGATCTTAACGCAAATGCGAAATTCGCATTCAGCTTCAAAAAATAAGTAGAAATCACTCTTCAAAAAGTTTTCCAGGAAATTTTCCCCTAGAGCCCCTATTTGATGCCCGGTCATGGACCAAGAGAATAAATAAGGACTCCTAACTCCCTATTGAAACCTGTGTTAAAAACCGTTACTGCGCGCTTGCAGCGAACCTGGCAGAGGGTGCGGTGAACTGACGCCACAATGGTCCACGATCGTACCTCTATAGTATGTTATTCCATGCAATGTTCTTTGTTTATCTATGATTTATTTATTTGTGTAGATACTTTAATACATTTTACTTTCGCAAACTAATGAAATAATATAGATACATACCTTCTGCAGAGGTCAATGCGAAAGACTTTGATTTGAAGTATCTTATCAAAACACGAGCAAAGATGATTCAGTCAACTTCTGACGCAGAATCAAAGAGACTTGCTAATAATCAAATTAAAGGTAATGCTTGAAGTCAAGTATCTTTGATTTTGTGACACTCAGTTGATTTTTATCAGTACAACACTATTTCTCAATCAAAAGATTTCACTGGCGCCTTCGGCTAACGCTGATGTCGGCCCTAACTGGAGTTGGGGGTCCTTATTTATTCTTTTGGTCCATGGCCCGGTTGCCTGGAGTATAAGAAGAGTGTTGCATGGCTCTGAGTAGTAACTGTTTCTGAAACTATGTAGAACCCTCTCGAATTTTCTCCATTCAAGTGAAGAGAGTAAAGTGTCTCCATTTAGTAAAGAGACACCTATTACTCCTCTCCAAAATTTCCTAAAATTTTTTCAGACTTTCGTAAGATATCATGCGATTATTGACATTAATTTTTCTGGAATTTTCTCAAACTCTCAAAGAGGTTGTTCCAAAAACGCCGATTTTGGCTCCCCCCTGGATTTGACCCAAACTTTGCTCAGATGTTGTACCAAGTGTCCCCGATGCTTGAGCAAAATTTCAGCCCCCTCGGATAATTAGGGGGGAGGGGGCAGGGGGGCAAAGTTGCAATTTTTTCAAAACCTTAAAAATCGATATCTCGCGAACGGTTTGAGTGTAAGTGTTGCGGTTTGCGCTAAAAAACGTTAAAAAATATTCTCTACACGAATAATGATGCTGTTTGCACGGTTGCGTAATTTATCGTAATCATAAATCGATTTTTTCGATTTTGAAGGTTCGACTTTTTTTCGTTTTTCGTCTCTCCTCTCCAGGCGATTGTTGCTATGTGAATAAAAACCAGTTGAGGTGATTCTCCATGAAATTCTGCATCTACCGCACTTTGTCTGACCTTGGGGAAACGATTCATTCTTGAGTTATAGCAATTTTTCTGCGCGTTCCCGGTTACGCGCGGGCGGCATATCGGCGGCGCTCCATCCCCCCTGGGCGAGGCAGAGGTTGTTTCACTGCTAGGGCCTTATATTCATGCTGTAGGCTGTAATTATTGATATTTTCTCCTTCCCCCACCCTTCCCCTCCTATAAATATGTTTTTTATACTTCGTTATACAGGGTGTCCCGGACCACCCATACCAGGTCTTTTTCTCGGTTGGTTTAGGTAGTACGAAGTGGGGGACCGCAGGGTTAAACAGGGAATTGACCCCAAGGTATCCAAATTTCATGGTCCCGAAGCCCCCCCACCCTCCCTTGGGGGGTAAAAGAGGGAGGCACAATGTCTCCCGACTTTAGGGATCGTGACCCCCTCTTTACTCCCCAAGGGCGGCATGGAGAGTTTCGGGACCATGAAATTCGGATACCTTGGGGTCAATTCCCTGTTTAACCCTGCGGTCCCCCACTTCGTACTACCTAAACCAACCGAGAAAAAGACCTGGTATGGGTGGTCCGGGACACCCTGTATAACGAAGTATAAAAAACATATTTATAGGAGGGGAAGGGTGGGGGAAGGAGAAAATATCAATAATTACAGCCTACAGCATGAATATAAGGCCCTAGCAGTGAAACAACCTCTGCCTCGCCCAGGGGGGATGGAGCGCCGCCGATATGCCGCCCGCGCGTAACCGGGAACGCGCAGAAAAATTGCTATAACTCAAGAATGAATCGTTTCCCCAAGGTCAGACAAAGTGCGGTAGATGCAGAATTTCATGGAGAATCACCTCAACTGGTTTTTATTCACATAGCAACAATCGCCTGGAGCGGAGAGACGAAAAACGAAAAAAAGTCGAACCTTCAAAATCGAAAAAATCGATTTATGATTACGATAAATTACGCAACCGTGCAAACAGCATCATTATTCGTGTAGAGAATATTTTTTAACGTTTTTTAGCGCAAACCGCAACACTTACTTTCAAACCGTTCGCGAGATATCGATTTTTAAGGTTTTGAAAAAATTGCAACTTTGCCCCCCTGCCCCCTCCCCCCTAATTATCCGAGGGGGCTGAAATTTTGCTCAAGCATCGGGGACACTTGGTACAACATCTGAGCAAAGTTTGGGTCAAATCCAGGGGGGGCCAAAATCGGCGTTTTTGGAACAACCTCTTTTCTCTAGGCAATGCACAAATAAATACAGGTCCTCGCCGCTTCCTTCCTGAAGCTTTCAAGAATATTCTTGGACTTTTGGAAGAGTGTCACACGACAATAAGAGGCATTTATTTATGGAGCTTTCTCAAATGTAATTAAAGAGGTAGTCAGAGGAATATGGCTTGTATGAATTAGAGATGTCAAAGACTGAAGATGGCCATTAGGCCTGAAACTAGTCCCCCAGTGCTGCCGCTGAATCAGAAACTTTAACCACTCTACTTTCCAATTTTTAAAAGCTACAGCCATACATAGGGCGCCTGAATGCACATTTAGTGAAGATTAACAACACATCAAAAATTCATGTTGGATGTGATTATAGAATACTGCCAGGTGGTTTTTGGTCGATAAATAAATAAGGTTATTGAGGCTCTTGGAATAATAATTGCATGTTTGTGGTTTTTTAGGGGAAAAATGGCCAGGTACGCTTCAGAATAACAACTTATCTTCTTCTCTGGGCCCCCTTCAAAAGTTTTCCCCTTGATACGGTGATTAATGATCCAATCCTGCACATTTTTACTTCAATAGGAGACAATTACAACGGATAGGTTACGGACGGTTTTTACGGTCACGTGTGCCCTACCTAATATAATAATACATACATATGTATATGAAAGAAAAAATGTGCGATTTCGAAACATCCCACCTTCAAGGCTCCTTGGCCATACAAAACACTTATTTCAATTTACTGAGACATGAAGCTGAGCTTCGAGGAAAATTGACATGAGTCATAACACAAAGTCTTCAGAAGCAGGGGTTTTAACCACTCACTTGCTCCCAATAGTACGTTTTGATTTCACCTTTCAAAGGTGAAATTGAGATTACAAACTTACGATAAGCATCTATAGAGTGGCCGTTCAAGTTACGAATTGATTTAACTTGATACGTCTTCCCATCAATTTCAACCTCATACGATTCCATGACCTCTTGGATTGCTGCTCCAACATCACCTAGCCTGACGTCAATGCCAGCTTCCTGGAAAACAAAAGAAAAAATAGGTAAAGGTTCATGAGGAGATTGGGATACTTAATTTCACGACAGAGGTTGGGTTGGCGAGCTAAACCAGTTGGACAAGCGTTTATATGCTCACAGTTTTTAAAAAGATTTTGTAGCGTTTTTGCAATGTTTCCTAACAGTATTTGTAGTCTTTTGATATTGGTTTTTATCATGGTGGTTGCATTGTGTGGTGTATTTTCAATTAGGGTCATGAACCGTTTATTAGAAGTGGATATTAGACTTAGATATGTTTCATCCATGAAAAAACTCTGTTGCATCCATGCCAAAAAGTGTACAATAAAAGCATCAGACATTAAGTTTAAAAGCATTTATTGATAAAGTTTACCCTCGGGCATTGCAGAGAACCATTAGTTTGAAATCTCTAATGCCAGTTATTTACAAAATCAACAAAAAACGAAGCCTACTTAAAAAATCATGTCCATCGGGTTCAATCCATGACAAATGTTTTTATCTCGAACGCTTGTCATGGGTTGGTAGATCAATTGCTAAAAATATTTCGGATTATTATACCTAGCTCTATCTGTACAAATACAGCAGAGACAAGTGGTGCAAATAAAAGGATGACTTTGTGAAGCTACTTAAAGAAATAAAAGGAATGAAGATTTATTTATTTCATTTATTTACATTAGTGTACATAAATGACACGAACATAGTGTCGAAGCATACTTGTCAGTGAAAACCCCCCAAACTTTTCTCGTTAAACATCATTATAAAAATCACTTAGAGAATAAAATGCCTTACAAACGAATAAAGTTTTTAACCTCTTGAAAAAAGCATTAAGTTCCCAGTCTTTCCATAGTTTTCTTAATTTCAGCGGAAGATTATTAGAGAGCCCGATGGCAGAATGTAACACTGACTGTTCAAGGACCTTCAAACGAACAACTTCGAAATTTATGAAGGAGTTTCTAGTGTTTCTTATCATGTCATTAGTGATCAAGCCGTCGTCAATGGCAAACTTTAGACTATCTAGTATAAAGATGGATGGAAGTGTTGTGAGTTGGTGCTGTGTAGATAGGTTTCTACAATGGTACTTAAATGGTTTGTTAAAGATCAGTCTAAGACATTTTCTATGTTCAATGAATAATTGACCTGAGCAGTGGTTTAGACCCCATAGTGCTAGGCCATACCTTGGATGTGAGATTGTGTTTGCATGATAGTACATTATACACGACTGGAGGGATACAACTTTTGCCAGGTTCCTGAATGCCCATTTAACGGTATTAATTTTAAAAATGACTTCTAGTGCATGAGATGACCAATTTAAGCTTTGATAAAGTATTATACCCAATGAGTTAGCGTGGGTAAGAGCCTCTGAGCTACTGCACCAATCATCATTTGATTGGCTTCTTTTTTGATAGGAAATCATATAATAATTAATTCTTAGTGTTTTATCCTGATTTATTAAGAGTCTGTTCACAGAAAACCATGCTGTTACGTCATGCTGGGCCGTAGTACATTCTTTCTTAAGATTTGGCCCCAAAACAATTGTATTGTCAGCGAACAAGTGCGTGAGGAATCCCACTGCACCAGGCATGTCATTAACGAAGATAAGGAATAATAAAGGTCCTAGGATAGATCCTTGGGGAACACCAGCTGACAGTCCACACAAGATTTAAATGGCAAGACCAAAATTAGAGTCACTTTTAACTCTCTACTTTCTAGTACTTAAATACGATGCTATGAGGTCAACGGTGCTGGGGTTGAGATGGTAACTAAGTTTTTTAAGCGGTAATTTATGGTTAATGAGGTAAAATGCTTTGGGAAAATCAAAGTGTAGACTGGCAACAGGGATCCCCTGATCCAATAATTTATAGATGCATTCCGTTAATTTTTGAATGGCTTGAGTAGTCAACCTTTTCTTACGGAATCTGAATTGATTACAATGTAAAAACTGCCCTTCTTCAATGAACTTAACTAGTTGGTTTACAACACTTTTTCAATAATTTTGGCTAGAGCTGGTAAAACAGATATTGGGCAATAATTTAAAGGAGATTTTTTATCCCCCCCAGCCATAGCTGAGTATATGACCTAGAAATTCGTTGAGGCGCACCCCAAGTAGGGACTCGAGGTTAGTGTCCGTAAGACGGAAAAGATGTCCGTCGAGGGTGCTCAGCAGAGCATAGTCCTGGAGGATGATCAACATATAGAAAATTGCGAACAATACAGGTACCTGGGGGTGAAACTAACTTTGGATGGGAAGTTGGATTAGGCCATTCGGAACTGTAATCTTCAAAGAAGGAAAGCCATCGTAGAACTGTAATCTTCAAAGAAGGAAACCCATCGCCATGCTGAATGAGATTCTTTGGGACCAAAGAATTTCCGAGGACAACAAAAAGAGGATTTGTAACTCGGTTGTCAAACATATAATGACCTATGGCAGTGATAGGTGGCAGTTGAAGAAGCGGCCCAAAGAAATGCTCGAGACGACAGAGATGGATTTCTCTGGCAAAGATCGGCTGGAATCTCGAGGAGAGAACGTATCAGGAATGAATATGTTCGGGAGATAATGGGCATTAAGGGGACAATTTTGCATTATAGCATGACCAGGCAGTTGGTATGGTATGGGCATGTGCAAAGCATGGCTGATACCAGGTTGCCAAAGATGGTGTTGGAGTGGGTCCCTCCAGGTAGGCATCGGAGAGGGCATTCAGCCAAACAGTGGGTAGAGGGCATTTGTCAAGAGATGGAGAGACGCCAGCTTTCAGGTGATCTCTACCATGACAGATTCCTGAGGCGGGTAGGCGTCGCAGAGCGCTCTAGCGCGCCATAAAAGTGACATACACATACATATGTTACGGTCAATGTTAGGGAATGGGGAAGTGTATGTCATTGGCCGGCCAATGTTGACCGTGGCCGGGCGTTTCGGCCGATGATGTCATTGGCCAGCGATTTTGGGAAATGTTTCCTTAACAATAAAACCGTCACATAGTGACCGGCCGCTGGTGTCATTGGCCGGCCAATGTACTGTTTGGCCGAGGGGTGACGGCCAATGTTGGATCTGTTATCATTTATCAATTGAACGTAAGAGAGTTGAGTGACCAAGCGGCAACCGCGTCACCGTGTATCCTGCAATGCCGGGTGATGATATGTCTAAAATCTCAATCGTGATAAGAGTGTTACTGTTATCCCCGCTTGCTTGCCGGAGTGAGTGATGTGTTTACAATTTCGGATGCTCAACTCAGTGTGCTTTCTTCTTCTCTGAGGCGATCACGCGACGGACACGGCCTGTAATTTTTTTTTTTTTTTTTTTTTTTTTGTGATGAGGGGAATAATTCGCTACAGTGCCCCCATCATGAGGGTCGCCAAGACGCCCCTCATGAAAAGGGCCCACCGAATACCGGGACGGCAACGACCATCAGCTGGTGAAGAGCCGCCGAAGCGACCCCTAACCGACCCGACCGCTGTGAGATGGGAAGACCCGGTTATGTGGGGGTGAAGCACGCCGCTGTGTTCCGTACCCACTAAACGACCCCTCCAGGCCACACCCCGTGCAAGTGTGCAAGTTTCGGACGCTCTATCCTCCCGTCGGAACGGCCTGTAATTAATCCGCGATTTTTTTAAAGTACTTTTTATGTGTTGTTTTAATATAGTGTTTTACTCGAAAGTTTTAATCCTGTTTTAAATATTTTTTTTAGTGCTCGTGCTCGTGTGTGTTTTTAATCTATGACTGTGTTCTGAGTTTTTAAATCTTTGTTTTACTGCATACTCGTGTGTGTTTTTCCATATTTTAAGTCATTTCAAGTGAAAACGTGACACGCGCGCGAGAGTTTTTCATATTTTTTAACTAATTTCTTACAATTTTTTACGTGGACCATGGAGCAATCATTTCAAGAAAAGTTAACCGCATTACTCGCGAACAAACGGAACGCCAACTCAACGTTGCTTCTTGAAATAATTATTACAGCTGTGGGATAAAAAAAAAACAAAAACAAAAACGAAAAAAATGCTCCAATTTTTAAAGTCGAAAGAAATGTAAAATAAATATAAAAAAAACCTTCTAAAAATAAATCAAACAGCTGTAGTAATTACACATTCACTCATTTGTTTCCTCTCATGTGGTATGTTTTCAGTTTTAATGTGTTTTATAATGTGAACGGACAATGGCCGTCAGTCATTGGCCACTGTCATCATCGGCCGGCCATTGTTCACCTCGCGGTGAAAATGTTAACAGTGACCGGGCTTTTAGGCCGATGACATGATTGGCCGGCCAATCATGTCATTGGCCCTCGATTTCGGCCGATGCTATCATTGGCCGGTCAGTGACAGCATCGGCCGGCCCCCTAACATTGAGCGTAACACATACATAAAAAACCAAAAAAAAATAAAATAAACATACAAGAAAATAAAACCAAAACAAACGAAATTCTCAGGCAAGAAGAGCAAGATAGATTGTGATGGTCATGGATTCCATGGATTGGTCATGGATGGACGGTTTATGGATAAAACTCAAACGTTAGAAATTACCTTTATACCAGTGTTTGTAGCTTCCCGTACGGCTTCGACAAGTTTATCATACTTCGGATTAAAAGTCAAAGTCCATGCACAATCAATGATTCGACCTGTTTAAAACATACTCAATGAAGGTTTCTTACAGAGGATGAGTACAATGAGAACATTAAATGGAAAATCCGCTCAATCTAGCCAAATTTTCAATCCATCCAAAGACAAAAGACCCTGCAAAGACACTCAAGGAAACAAATCTATTTCAGGATTCTTGGACTTTTCATCTCCTATTTCATGGCCCAGCAAATTGCTAGTCCATTTATTGATTCGTCGATTAAAACAAGTCAATGTAATTACAATGAAATTAAACATTTTTAGGTCATGTAAAGTATGCTTTAGACTTTTGTCCATTTGGATGAGATAATATTTGCCTCAGATTAGCGTTACTCACAGTCATTTTTAAACTCAGAAAGTAAAGGCCAAAATGTTGCCAGTGACACAAACAATTTCAGCCTGATGTACAAAATTAATGCTGTAAAGATCATTTGATGATAGTTAAAAGTTTCACAGGAGACTTGGCATAATTGAACAATCATTTAGAAACAGGTCATACATGCATTGATTGCTGCTAAGATTTTAAAGCATTTCATTAGTTCCTGTGTCAACATGTGGGTTGATTATTAAAAATGGGAAAATGTAGCACTGCTCCTAATGGTTAAAGCAGGTGGTTCTTATAGACTAACAAGGGGAGGCTACCGATTGTCCCCCTCAGATCGGGTTCAAATTTGGCAGAGAGGTAGAATAGGTTAACAAGGGGAGGCTACCGATTGTCCCCCTCAGATCGGGTTCAAATTTGGCAGAGAGGTAGAATAGGTTAATATAAGAACCCGTATTTTTTTTTAGGTGCCAATGCCCAGCCGTTTTTGAGTTATGAATTGTTGCCGTTTTTTCGTGTCAGCGACGCGCTCAAGTTGAGCCTACTGTGCACGCACCTTTTAATGCGATCCGAATGTCGTAGAGATCATGTGAGACAGTTGTCCAAGCGGTAGCGCGCTCGTCTATGATGCTGCAGGCTCGGAGTTTGATACTTATTCCGTGAATTTAATTTTTAAAATTGATTATTTTGTTTTTTAATCGCTTCATCACAAGAAACTGTAAGTCACCTTGTAGACGTTGTGATGCTAATTATGTTTTTTTCCTTTTTTGTCAAACACTCATTAAAAAAAAAACATTAGAATCATAACGTCTATAAGGTGACTTACTATTTCTTGTGATGAAGCGATTAAAAAACAAAATAATCAATTTTAAAAATTAAATTCACGGAATAAGTATCAAACTCCGAGCCTGCAGCATCATAGACGAGCGCGCTACCGCTTGGACAACTGTCTCACATGATCTCTACGACATTCGGATCGCATTAAAAGGTGCGTGCACAGTAGGCTCAACTTGAGCGCGTCGCTGACACGAAAAAACGGCAACTTCAAAAATTCATAACTCAAAAACGGCTGGGCATAGGCACCTAAAAAAAATACGGGTTCTTATATTAGCCTGTTCTACCTCTCTGACAAATTTGAACCCGATCTGAGGGGGACAATCGGTAGCCTCCCCTTGTAAGGGGCAAAATGATGGACTAAGAATAGGTTCTCTCATGGGTTGCAGTTAGTCTATTATTTAGCTCCTTGTCCACAGCAACCACCCGATTCCACTAAGTAATAGAATCACTTCATGAACTCCTTGTCTTCTTCCTCTATCAACTTCTATTATCAACCTGCAGAAGCTGTAAATTTTATAAGTTGGTCTTCAAAAACATTTTAATTTTATGAGCTTATTTTCCTGGATATCCTGAGCAGGATTGAGAGAATTTTTTAACGGAGTAGAAGAATGGTGAGGTTGCGAAATCTCACAATAAATAATTATATGTAGAAAGCATACCACTGATATGGGTTCCAAAGTCAATTTTGGTGACATCATCTGCTAAAAGAACGGTTGGATCACCAGCATTTGGGGTATAGTGAGCAGCACAGTTATTCCGAGAGCATCCTGTCGGAAATGCCATTCCAGAGTTGAGTTCATCGCCACCTATCAGTGATCGAGAGCATTTCTCTAACTCTTCACAGATTTCAATCATGGTCATTCCTGGTTTGACCCAGTTTTGAATATGGCGACGGACCTGAGAAATTCATGGATAGCTTTAAGTTTTGGTACATTCTACCTTGCAAATCCATACAAGTATTTTAAAACCCATTCTTTCCAAGAATTCAAAGGCGATGAAAGTGTTACAAAATAGTGGGCTCAAGTCAACCCAAGTATTATTGAAAAAAAAAAGAACATGAGTAGGTTCAGTGGCCACTGGATCGATATTATTTACAAACGGATCACATAAGACATTTATTCATTTGATTGCTTGGTTTCATGGACATTATTGTCTTCATTATCACATTTTGAGTTGCTCCAACTTCTATTTTTGAGGCAGTTTGAATGATAGAAATCAGAATTTTATACAAAAGATCATTGTAAGACTGGATTAAGATAATTGGAGCTACAGCAATGAGAGCAGAAGGGACAGCAGGTCCAGAAACAGTCAAATGTTTACTTTTTCCAAGTGGCATTGATGCTGCAACACTTCAGGATCTTGGAAAAGTTGAGTCAACATTAAAATCCAATACACAACTGCTCTCTCTATGTCATAGTACGAGGGTCATCCAAAAAGTAAGGTTCCCTACCTTGTATCTTCCGAACGAAAAGAGATAAATCAAATCGGTAAAAACGTACATATTAGGCATACTCTAAGCTTTAAAACAAACTCAAGTTTTTGAAAATCGGTTGAGGACTTCGCGAGAAAACTCAATTTTACTGAGACGACCTCCCGTCGTCGCGTGCCCACCTCCGAGGTCAGAATGCGCGGAGAGTCCCTTACTTCAGACTCGGCTTATCGCCTCTAAACATCAAATCGAAAAGGAATGTAAAAGATTTTATCAAGTAGGCCTTACCTTACTTTTTGAGATAGTCTCCGCATCTTTTTTGACATTTCTGGTATCATTACAGCAGCTCTTTCATGCCTTCCGCGTAAAAGGTCTCGTCTTGGCTCCAAAACCAGTCATTGCCAGCGATCTGCACCTCTAAATCGGTTGGAAATCGCTTTCCACATTAGGAGTTTTTCATCTCAGGAATAGACGAAAGTCACCTGAGGCTAAATTAAGAGAATACGGAGGATTGGGGAAAAATTTTACCACGGTAAACAACTGATTTGGATGTGCAGATCGCTGGCAATGACTGGTTTTGGAGCCAAAACGAGACCTTTTACGCGGAAGGCATGAAAGAGCTGCTGTAATGATACCAGAAATGTCAAAAAAGATGCGGAGACTATCTCAAAAAGTAAGGTAAGGCCTACTTGATAAAATCTTTTACATTCCTTTTCGATTTGATGTTTAGAGGCGATAAGCCGAGTCTGAAGTAAGGGACTCTCCGCGCATCCTGACCCCGGAGGTGGGCACGCGACGACAGGAGGTCGTCTCAGTAAAATTGAGTTTTCTCGCGAAGTCCTCAACCGATTTTCAAAAACTTGAGTTTATTTTAAAGCTTAGAGTATGCCTAATATGTACGTTTTTACCGATTTGATTTATCTCTTTTCGTTCGGAAGATGCAAGGTAGGGAACCTTACTTTTTGGATGACCCTCGTATAAGAAATATTACGTCATTTGTAATGTACCCTTCTTGTATTTTCTAAGCCTAGTATTCTAATGCTTTCATGGCCTTTTCTTAAAATTATCCGACTTCCATCTCTGTTCTATCATCATTCTCTTCATCAAAGTTTAAAAATTGTGTAGGTGATTTTTAGGTAGAATTTTGAATGAATTCCAAAATTTGGAGTTCAGTTCTCTTTATAATTGACTTGATATCTTTTTCTATAAAGTCTTTAATAATACATCAGGTTAAGCGATGCTAAAATATAAAACCCCTGTGCATATTTTTGGAATGTTAAGTAATCCTGCAAAACCTTAGGGGGTTAACTACGAATTAATGTTGTTAACCCTCCTCTTTAAATATATTTTGAAAAGAAAAATGTTTTACCGGCCTCCTGAGAGTCTCTCCATCAAAGTTTTACCGAATTTTTTGGCTCTAACACTTTGCCACACCATTGTTTTGTATTACCTATGCAATTAATACACACCCAGTGTGACACTATACATTACAATGTACAGTTAGAGTAACTACAGTGGCATAATACAGTCGTAAAACAGTATAATACCTGTCGATGAGCTTCAGCAGCATGTCTTGCTTGATTATACATGTCATTATGCAATTTATCTAGTGCACGTTTTTCTTCACTGGAAAATCTATCTTTCGCGGTTTGATCATTTTGACACTGTGGGTATTCCATCTCCTGGCCGACTGGAAAGTTTCCTGAGATATGATAAAAATGAATATGATTACTTTAGCCTTGTAGATTTGATTTTACTTGACAATTTAACCACATTTCAGTTTTTCTAAGAAATATAGGAATTTCCATCTTGATCTAAACATATTCCAGAATGTTCACGCATGGGTGCAGGAAATGCCCTAGGATCGCAGAAAAAGTGAGGCAAGAATACGGTTATAACTATCATGAGGCAATTTTTAAAAATGATGACTTTCTCCATATGTTCATCATTATTTTTTTGGATTAGAAATTTACAGCTTAAGGCTGGTATTTCAGTTCTCTCCCGGGTTACTTAGGAGAAAGGAGGGCTCTGTTTTAATTTGCTTGTGTAACAGGTCTTTTTTTTCTTTTTCTTCTTTTGTGAGTTTTTACTCACTGGCCGTCACAGCGGAACCTGTGGATGATTCAACAACTTCCCACGAGAGAAGCTTTTTGGAGTTGTTGGTAAGTCTTATTGTTCATGTTTAGGAATCTAAGGCTGTGGAAAAGCTTCTTGGGGATCTCTCCGGTTGCACCAAGTACCACAGGTACCAATGTGATTTTATCAAGTTTCCGAAGTGCCTTGATCTCCTCTGCAAGAGACATGTAGATGATAATAAAGACAGATAGAGGTTGTCCCATTTTCCATAGGAAATGGCCGCAAGAGCTTTTCCATCCATACTTTCAGGAATCATAACGTATCATTGGAGAAGCCTAAATCCGGTGTCATTTCTCGTCTAGCCCCCCAGGGGGAGGGGGGGCAGGGGGTCAAAGGTCAAACGCTCCGACCGCCATAACTTTTGAACGAATCGTCGGATCAACTTGATCTTGGGCTCAAATGAAAGCTCTTAACGAGACCTTTCATTTGATGTATAGTAGTGTCTATTTTTGGTAACTTTCTAACGTAAAAAAAATCATTTTTTGATTTTTCAAGCCCAAAAAATTCAGTTTTTCGGGGTTTTCTCCAATTCGGAACGCATGAATCATTACAAAAACCAATTTAAATGAAAGTCCTTGATTCAAGTTTTAATATGAGCTATCGTTGAACTTGGGGAAATGAATGGTTCAAAAGTTATGACCGTTCAAAGTTGGCGTGGCGCCCTATTTTCGAAGCGCGCGGAGTGTGTACTCGCGTGCCACCCCTCCCTACCTCTCCCCCTGGGGCCCGCTTCAGTTGATAACGGATACAGAAAGGTTCAAAGCTCCTTCCATCTAAAGAATGACCAGTCAATAGTGTTAAGTTACTTTTATTTCTAACGAAAAAAGGGAAATAAAAATAAATTAAATGCTAATAAACGATAAGACGCTGGCAAACATTATTTTTTCACCCCCCCCCCTCCATGATTTAATATTTGATGTAGCCAAATCAAGCCTCTCATCATTACGGTATCTGATTATTCCCGTACAGGTAAATCTTGATGAGAGGGAAATAGATCAGAGAGAGGTGAGGGAGAGATATTCAGTAGTAAATGCGCGTTCAAGTGCTGGTCGGCTAGTTGCGTACCACACCGTATGAGTATTATCTACATCTTTTGAGTGTATTTTGTGGTAAAAGAAGCTGGATTTGGCTATTAAATATTAAATCATGGAGGGGGGGGGGCGAAAAAATAATGTATGCCAGCGTTTTATCTTTTATTAGCATTTAATTCATTTTTATTTCCCTTTTTCCGTTAGAAATAAAAGTAACTTAACACTAATGATTGGTCATTCTTTAGGTGGAATCCGTTATCAACTGAAGCGGGCCCCAGGGGGAGAGGTAGGGAGGGGTGGCACGCGAGTACACACTCTGCGCGCTTCGAAAATAGGGCGCCACGCCAACTTTGAACGGTCATAACTTTTGAACCATTCATTTCCCCAAGTTCAACGATAGCTCATATTAAAACTTGAATCAAGGAATTTTATTTAAATTGGTTCTTGTAATGATTCATGCGTTCCGATTTGGAGAAAACCCCGAAAAACTGAATTTTTTGGGCTTGAAAAATCAAAAAATGATTTTTTTTACGTTAGAAAGTTACCAAAAATAGACACTACTATACATCAAATGAAAGGTCTCATTAAGAGCTTTCATTTGAGCCCAAGATCAAGTTGATCCGACGATTCGTTCAAAAGTCATGGCGGTCGGAGCGTTTGACCTTTGACCCCCTGCCCCCCCTCCCCCTGGGGGGCTAGACGAGAAATGACACCGGATTTAAGCTTCTCAGATGATACGTTATGATTCCTGAAAGTATGGATGGAAAAGCTCTTGCGGCCATTTCCTGTGGAAAATGGGACAACCTCTTGGCAGTTTTCTCGTTTACTAGACTGCTACACTTATCGACGAACTTGAGTCCCTTTATACCCAGAGTTACGACAACTCGATTATCAGCTGACTGACAGCCGGCCTTGGCTGGCCATGGAGGCCGAAACGAGTGCACCCAAACGAACGATATTGAGGGATAAGGATCATGAATCCTGCGATGTCTGTCGCACAAAAACAACAACATCAACAAACTGATCAATTAAAAATAAAATGAGATTGGTTTGTGAATAATTTCTTAATCTATTTTCATTTTGGACCGATGGAAATAACAATTTACTCTTGATAAACTACAATTAGGTAATATTTTCATTATTCTTGTTCACATACGAGGTACCGCCATCTTGGTGCACTCGTTTCGGCCTCCATGAGCGAGAACCAATCAGAATTGGATTTTTTTTTAGGCCACTTTCAGCCCAACCCTGGCCCAACCAAAAGTGAGTTGTCGTAACTCTGGGTATAAAGGGACTCTACGACGAACGAGAAAGCGCTCATGTACATATGCGGAAACAACGAACACAAATAAACTTTTTCCTGATAATGAACAGGGAAAAAAAAATTAAAAAGTAAGTATGCAATTACTTTGCATACATGTACTGTACAGTACTACTGCTGCTACTACTACTACTATTGCTGCTACTGCTGCTACTACTACTACTATTGCTGCTACTGCTGCTGCTGCTACTACTACTACTACTACTACTACTACTACTACTACTACTACTACTACTACTACTACTACTACTACTACTACTACTACTACTACTACTGCTGCTACTACTACTGCTACTGCTACTACTACTACTACTACTACTGCTACTACTACTTCTGCTACTACTACTTCTGCTACTATTACTACTGCTGCTACTACTACTACTACTACTACTACTGCTACTACTACTACTACTACTACTACTACTGCTACTACTGCTACTACTACTGCTACTAATACCGCTACTGCTACTACTACTACTGCTACTACGACTACTACTGCTACTACTACTACTACTGCTACTACTACTACTACTGCTACTACTACTAATAATGCTACTACTGCTACTACTACTACTACTTCTACTACTACTGCTACTACTACTACTACTACTACTACTACTTCTACTACTACTGCTACTGCTACTACTGCTACTACTACTACTACTACTACTACTACTACTTCTACTACTACTTCTACTACTCCTACTACTACTACTACTACTACTACTACTACTACTACTACTAATACTACTACTGCTACTACTACTACTACTACTACTACTACTGCTGCTACTACTGCTACTGATACGCCCGTCATTTTTTGAGCAGTTGATCGAACAGATTTGAAATGAAAGCCTATAAAGACCTAAAGCTCAGAGAGAAATTTCAAGAGGAGCATAGGAACGGTTTTCGAGTTTTCTGAGAGGGGGAGGGGCGGCAATAGGACTAAAATCCCATCTAATATTTTCCGTTTTCTTGTTAAATTGATGTTTGCACGGACTTCGAACGAATCAATGCATCGACTCCTCGGCGTAAACTGGCCGACAAGCACTTGAAACTCAAGTTTACTACTGATTATCTCTCCCTCACCTCTCTCCAGCCAGGTGCGTACAAGAGCCAGCCTTATGAATAATATCCACTGATTTTGAGTGTATTATACGGTAAAAGAGGCTTGATTTGGCTATTAAATCGTAAATCATGGAGGGGGGGGGGGCGCAAATATAATGAATGCCAGCATCTTATCCTTTATTTGCATTTAATGTTTTTTTTGTTATATATATCCCTTGTTTTGTTACAAATAAAAGTAATTTTGCGTAAATTATTGATCATGCTTTAGGTGGAAGGAGTTTTGGACCTTTCTGTAATCGTCATCAGCTGAAGCGGGCACGAGGGAAAAAGAAAGAAGGAGTGCCACACGAGAGTACACTCTGTTTGCTTCGAAAATAGGGCGCCACGCCAACTTTAAACGGTCATAACTTTTGAAGCATTTGTTTTCCCAAGCTAAATTATGGCTTGTTTTAAGCTTGAATGAAGGACTTTCATTCAAAATGTTTCCAGTAATGATTCCTGTGTTCCCCATCATGGAAAAACCAGACAAACTGAATTTTTTGGGCTTGGAAAATCAAACAATGATTTTTTTCACATTGAAAAATTACCAAAAAAGACAATATTATACATAAAATAAAAGCTCTCGTCAAAAGCTTTTATTTGAGCTCAAGATCAAATTGATCTGTTGTTTCGTTCAAAAGTTATGGCGGTTGGTGCTTTTGATCTTCGAGCCCCTGCCCCCTGGAGAGCTAGAGGAGAAAGGTCACCGGATTAAGGCCTCTCTGATGATCTGTTATGATTCCTGAAAGTATGGATGTAAAATCTCTTGCGGACATTTCCTATGGAAAATGGGACAGCCTCTTTGAGCAATTTTCAGCTCTGAGTGGTAGTTTTAGGCCTCCAAAATTTACCATAAAATCGGTGGTATTAGCGTTCAAGTGCTTGAAGCAACCTTATCTAAGAAACCTAGGCATCATGACTATCAAGAAAATTTCTTTTCAATGATAGAACCGAACTTTATACCGATAATTTGCCTATTTTAGCCCCGAAATACCTTTAGATCAACTTTGTTTTCCAGAAGTTGAACGGAATTGTTCTCTTTTTGGCTTAAATGACTAGGTAGACATTCAACTTCTAGCATTTGAAGAGTTTTTGCTTTTGAATCGT